TATGTCAAATATATGTGAATTTTCTCTCCATTGATCATATCAGCTTTAGTGGTTTATTTTCATTTAAGAATAAAATATTATTATATAGCCTATATATGCAAGTGGCTATTTTCCAGCGCTGAGCCGGTCAATATATTGACGGCTATTCTCCGGCGTCACGTATAGTCTTACGGACATAGATCTAGTATGGTCCGTTGCCGTTGCACATGTCGCTTCCCCACAGCATCTCCCCTCGTTATGACCTTACACAAACACTCATCAGGGTCGCCATTTCTTCAGAATGCGATTCACCATGCCATAAGTAAGGTGAACATGCAGCCAATACTCAATGAAAGCTCCAGTACTCCAGTGATGGAAGACGGACGAATTTCTGTGAGGTGACAGCACCAACTCAACATTAATAACAACCTTCAGTCACAAAATCAAAAAATAGCTAGATCTTAGATCTAGATCTTAGATCTAGATCTAGATCTAGATATCTAGATCTAGATATCTAGATCTAGATCTAATAATCTAGATCTAGATCTAATAATCTAGACCTAGATCTAGAAAGAATTAGGAAGAGGCTAGCCGTACTTAATGACGGCTAGACGTACTTAAGTACGGCTAGACTGGCTGGCTAGCCGTACTTAAGTACGGCTAGACTGGCAGTCTAGCCGTACTTATTCTAAATATGATGGCTAAACTAACCATTTTTTTAAAAAATAGGTCTACTGAATTGTAAATATAAATTTTTAGTGTGCAGTGCCGATTTGTATTTGAGACGAAACCAGGTGCCTTAATGACAACTCTGTGCAAGTATTTTAAACCTCCTGTTTTCTAATGTTAATAGGGCCTAAAATAAGTACGGCTAGACTGCCAGGCTAGCCGTACTTAAGGACGGCTAGACTGTCAGGCTAGCCGTACTTAATATTGATGGCTGAATTGTAAATGAAATTTTTAGTTTGCAATGCCTAAAGTATTTTTGTATTTCAGACAAAACCAAAAGGTGCCTTACTGACTTGCATGTATTTGAACCTGAATAATTACTAGATCTAGATCTAATAAGACCTGTGTACTTAACAGGCTTTAGTCGATAGGGCCAAACCTAGATCTACTTAAGCCACTTCGAAAGAATTATGCCCTAGATCTAGATTTCTAGATATATCACATGGAAGTGGCTATTCTCACCCGGGGTGAGAATAAAAATACGATCTACCTCTCACCCCGGGTGAGATTTGCCAGCGTAGGCTATTCTCACCCGGTGTGAAACATGACCTGTTTTTCCTCATTTTGGAATGTCTATCGGTGTGGATAATCAAATTGATAAAAGCCAAGAAAAAATTACGTTGTTATAGCACAAAAGTAAGCTAATTTGATCGTCTTCAAAGATGCTATGGCTATTTCACTTTTCGAATCGAGACGAACTACGCGGGTCGCCATTTTGTTTTGCCCGGAAGTTCTCGCAAGATCTACTCCTCCCCCCTCTCTCTCTCTTTCTGAATACTGTCTATCGGTGTGGATGATCAAATTAACCAAAACAAAGTAAAAAAATGATGTTAAATAAGAAAACTAAATTAATTTGGTTGTCTACAAAGATGCTTCTGCTATTTAACTTTCCGAATCGAGCCGAACTACACGGGTCGCCATTTTGTTTTGCCCGGAAGTTCTCGCGCTACTCCTCTCTCTCTCTTTCTCTCTCTCCACTGCCCACAGACAAAATTGCACGCTTTTAGTTTTAGGCTAACACTAACAGTAGTAATAGATCTAGAACGTTTGTTCACAGCACAGAATTCTATAAATCTATTATCACAGTGTAGAATTCTGTGGTTCAGGGTGAACACTTCACTGGTTGGCCTAGGCTATAATGGTGAACGCCCACCGGGTGAGAATAGCCAAAAGACTCGCCTGCGCTATTCTCACCCCGGGTGAGAATAGAATAGAAAGAGGTGGCCATATAGAAATCTATATCACACATATTATCAACAATATCACAAAACAAGCAAACTTGAGTCTTTTTGAAACAGGCAAACACTCACCATTTACTAGATCTGACTCACACACAACAACAAAAAAACAATTATGTTACAATGGGAAGATCTAACAACACTAACAGTAACTAGATCTAGATCTAGATCTAGATCTAGAAAATCTAGTAACAGTAACAGTGACGCGGACTTTCACTTTCACAGAAAAGAAATAAAAATAAAGAGACAGGTTCTTTTGATAGATTCCTTCTTTCAACTTCAAAAATGTGACTACTAGATCTAGGGCAAACGTTTTCTTTTTCACACAAAACTATTAAAGGATGTTACCTGTACCTCAGTAAATAAAATAATTTTGTCAGTCATTCATTGAAGAATATAGCAGAAAAACATGTTGTAACAAGATTTGTTTTGAAAATGGTCACTAGCGGAAGAAAAGATATACCAAACTTCAATAATAAAGAGCTGTATCAGTAAATGTAAAACCCGAACCTGACACTTCCTTGTTTTGTTAAATAAACGAAACGGAAACGATAAAGAGTACGACTTCACACTTCAGTCTTCAGTTACAGTGTTTGTTCAGTGGTCAGCACAGATCAAGATCTAGATCTAGTCTTTCCCTGGGGAGGTCTTCAAATGTCATCCATGGACTTCCTTCAGCATGTTATTTCATTTATCTGTATAATTTTTGCTAAAGGTATCTTATAAATGTTAGCCAACAGATCAGCCTCAGGTTGCCGGTGATCTTGTAGAGTTCCGTTCGTTAAAGTCCACGATCCATTTGTTTACATCTGGGTCCAGAGAAGAAATCTAGAAGTCGTGATGACCAAATAGGCGACACAAAGAACAGGGATGCAACCTGTCTACTCCAACACTAGCCTACTAGTAACTAGGTATAAATCTAGATCTAGAGTAAAATTCAGGATGATCTTTTTATACTTTTTTAGCACGTTAAATTCTTCAATTTTGAGGACTTCCGTAACGAGCGACCACTTTTAAATCTAGATTCTAGATCTAGATCTAAACTTAGATCTAGATTATACTCATCAATGGCTTCCAAAACCATGATAGAAGACCAAAAACCAATGTTATACCATCTGTCCATGACAAAATTACGGTAGGAAGGACTTCCGTAACGAGCGACCACCCCATCAAACACAATAAAGAAGAGGCCTAACCCTAACCGCTAACCCAAACCCTAACCAATACCCTAACCCTACCCCTATCCCTAGATCTACCCCTACCCCTAGCCCTCAATTCTGCTGTGTCTCAATCTCATAGTGGTCGCTCGTTACGGAAGTCCTCCCTTACGGTAGTTTGCGCATTTTATTTTAAGGCCCAGTTCAAAGTTTTGAAGATATCTGAGTCGGGGATTAGTAGACTTTGGGAATTTGATATGTGCTAAAGTATAAGATCACCAAATTCAGGGACCCCCTGAACCCCCCCCCCCCCCCCCCCCCGTATTTTTTATTCGATTCCTTTTTTATTAGGTCAGGGGGGCAAGCCCCCCTAAAACCCCCCTACTCTTGACTTTAACGAACGAAACTACAAAATCACTGCCTATCCTACACACCTAGATATCTAGATCTAGCTAGATTTTAGTGGTAGATCTAGACTTCTAGATCTACTCCAACACTTGCCTACTAGGTAGATCTAGATCTAGATTCTAGAACTCTATATATCAACTCCAAAAATAAAGTTGACGATCCTGAAAAAGACACTTCTCTGACCCTGGCCCTGGAGCTAGCCTCGATCCTCTGTCTCATTACATCATACTGTGGAAATCAGATTCAAATTCAATGTGAACTCAGAAATAACTAAATAAGTTGGATTCCCCATTTTTTTAATTCATACAAATCAATAGAAATGGAATCGAACTCGGATTTAACGAACCCATTAGATCTAGATAAAAATATGAGCACGCTCAAGTTCATTTGCTTCTATTAGCCTAAATATTTTATGCGACTTATCAGCAGCCTTCTTTCATAACAACTTGCGCGTTGTTCGCACCCACACATGATGTCTTCTTTTTGTGCGTGCGTCTGGGGGGGAGGAGGCAAACGATCCGGGCGTTTAGCGTCAGTGATACATACAAACGCGTCACAGTTATTTTCTTTTCACCGGCTACTGATCAACCTCACATTGATAAACTAGTCTTGATAGATCCAAGTAGGCCTATGGACTTTTTTTTTTAAATAAAAGTGTTTTACGGCGCTAGCAAATGCATAAAGTCATATGAGCGCGCGGAAGGTATTAAACTTTTTCAGTTGGTAGGAAACTTAGAATTTTGCCCAGGTGGCGGCCGAAGCCTACTCTTATCGATTTTAGACGCCAAGGGATCTTTGTCGTGCGCAACTTGCACACGAGCCTCCGAGATTTTTCGCCCTTGTCCGAGAAGGCTAGGTGTAGTCCTAATAGAAGATTGGGAGAGTGGCTGAAAGACAGCCGTAAGAAGGAGCCAAGGAGTAGCAGTAGAAAGGCTGCAGAAAGAGTCAGGAGCCCAGAGGAGGTGAGGGGGTGGGGGCAGAAAGAGGAGATGAAAGCAAACGACAGAACATTGCTAAAAGAGGTGAAAGGACACAATTTTAGAAAAGAAAATTTTTCGGTCGCTTCCCAGGAATCGAACCCAGGACCTTTGAGTTCCACTGTATCACTTATTGTTTTTGTTATAAATTTCTATAGGCTTACACATGCTGCATGAATATATTGCACAACTGTACTTTTAAACTGCAATCTGTGGCTAAACGAACACCATACCAAAGTACTGTCGTTTTACTGGGGGGGTTATTATAAATAAAGGAATATGGGCCACAAAATTTGCTTGTCTCTAAAAGGAAAGCTCATTATAAACTAGACTATGAAGCCAGCTGAGTTTCACGCTCACTTTTTTTTCTTTGGCTGAAGACAAGCCAGGACGAAATGAAAAAATCACAAAGGTTGACATCATATTTTGCCAAACTGTGAATTGTGGTCTAGACATCCTTCTAATGGTCCTCTTAACAGCAGCTCGAGTTAAAAGCAACCTCCACCCAACACCTATGCTTGTGGAACGGAATTTTTCCATAAATAGTCCCTTTTACAGCAACCTTTTTGGAAACTTAAAATAAACTGCACGAAAACAGTATACACCATCTTCACGAAGAGCCATAAAGCAGCCAAAGAAAATCTCAAACTAAAGATAGGA